ACCTACCGCGTTTAATCTGCCCGCCTGGGTATTAGGAGGCCGGTAAATTACCCCATACGGAGAAGGGAAGCTTATCTGGGTAAATATGCAGGGGGTGGGGGGCTGCGCACTGTGCAGGAAGCAGACTCTCGTGCAGCGTAGGGGGAGAAGGGGTGCCCGCCCACGTCACGGCACGCCAAAAAATAATACATAACAACAACATCTGTTTGATATTTAAATTCTTAGACATTTACGAGTGTGCGGCGATTTCAATGAAAACACAATAGTATGGCATATCGGCTTGAAATGATAAAACTGTGGGTACAGTGGGACAAGCGATATGGGCAACGGCGAGCGCCCAATGAAATACACGATATCGTATAAGCGCGCAGGGGCCGGGGGGCGGGGGCGGGCTGGCGGCGAGCCGGTGGTTTTCTGCTGAGTGTCAAGTTTTCTCTCCCGCCTCCGGCCCGGTCCGCGCGCACAATCCTTCGGCCCCGTCACCAAAACATGCAGAATTGGAAATCAAGGGTCCGTCTCCGTCCGCCGGCCCCCGCCCCGGTCGCCCCTCTCTCCGGAGGAATAAAAGAGAAGCCCTCCCATCCCCCGGCCTCACCTCGCCGCACCCCTCCCTCCCCTCCCTTCCCCCACTCTCCCGCCATCCTCTCTGTTTTTACTATCTTGCGTTTTCTTCCGGATCTCATATGTATGACGGCCGCGAGCGCACCCCCATGACAGTGGCAGGCCAGAGAGCTTGATGAGCAATTTAGACATTTCCACCTAAATATAGTTCTAAATATAGTTCACGACTGAGATTTACAATAAATGGACAGACAGTTGGGAAAAAGGGACGGGCAGTTAAAGCAACAAATACAGCAAAATGTCAAGGGTCTACAAACCATTGGGTCATGAGACAAGTGCATGGGAGGTGGTGGGTAGCCAGACTGGCCGAGGTGCGGGGGTGGTCCCCCCGAGAGCAGGGAGGGTGAGCCGTAGGAACCATATCCACCTTGGGGCAGCTGACCAGAGCTCGACCAGGGGTCTCCTGACCCCGCCACGTTTCCATCTGCACAAAAAAAGTGAGTCAAATTCTGGAAAGCAAAGCAGGAAGGAGGGAACGCTATCTGTGCGAGCGGCACTTCACTTCGACTTCAAACAGCGTTAACACGACTGCTCTGTGCACAGCGCTACTCACCCATATAATATGTGTCCGACGAGGTGTACATGCCGCCGGCCTTGGGTGACGAGTACCGCGGGGAGTCCTGCCCGAACTCGTCAGACCCATACTGCAACAGAAAGAGAGAGAGAAATGCGTCAGGAAGGGCGCAAGAAACACAAACAGGGGACACTCTGTATTCTGCTCGATCCTGGCGGCCGCGAAAACACCCCCCCCCCCTCCTGCACCCATTCCAAAGCCATATTATGTACGCGGGTGGTGAACGAGGAGGTCCGCCACCTCTGTTCCTCCCTCCTCCCCATCCCCGCAGCGCCACCCGGAGCCCAACAGCGAACACGGGGGAGGACATACCAAAAATGTATCAATATAAAATAAAAAGGC